CTTGAGCTTCAGCTCTTCGTTGGAATAGGTGCTTGGGCACTGCAGCCTTTGGCTGGCTTTTCAGCATTAGCTTCAGTTTGGCAACTGTTGAGCAATACAGCAAAGTTCAGACTAATTATGCATTTTTGTGTTTTTGGTGAGTTCAGCTCTTCAGGGCCAAACTTCTTGAACCGTTGGAGCACACAGCAAAAGTGCACCAGCAGCTTTAGGATTGTGTGAGGTCAGATTGGAGGTTGAAGAGTACTTGTGTTTGGGAGTTGAGCCTTGCAGCTGAGCATGTGTTTTGAGCATGTGGGAACTTGAGCATGCTTGGATGTTGAGCTTTGGCTTGGAAGTTGAGCTTGGAAGTTCAGATTGTGATGCATGTTTGCCAGAGCTTTTGAAGACTTCAAGCTTCAGATTCTGCTTCAGTTGTGAGCCATTCTGAGCTGCTCAACTCAACTGGACAGCAACCTGTTCTTTTTTAATCTAGTTGTTTTCCAGGTGTTGCTTTTGTAATCAAACAGTGCCCTGCTAAGGATGGCTCTTAAGATGATCTTCATTGTGGCATTGATGATCTCTTCAGGGATGGCTTCAGGTGCCTTTGCTTAAGCTGTGTTGGCTCTTTGCTTTCTGTTTGGCTGATTAAGTAAGCCCTGGGCAGGCATCAGCCCCATCAGCCCAGCGGTCATTCAGCTGGAGGAGATGTTGGGGGTGAGCCTTTTTCAGATTGACTCTTGGCTTTCATGATTGGTATTAGTTGTTTTTTGTATATGGCATGATTTTATAAAGGTTTTTTTTGGAACAGCCACATTTTGTTTCATTTCCAGCACAGGCTTTGAGCATCCTGGTGGTGGCCACCATGGTTGCAGTGAAGAAGCTGATCAGCATGGTGGATGCTGCATCAACTTCAGCGTGGCAGCTGCTTGAGAAAGCTTCAGTCATTGAGCGCCGCCACTTAGCTGACTGGTTATGCTTATCTCTGCTCATTTTTTGCTGATGGGGTATGTTTAGTAAAGAAAGTTTTCTTGTTTTCAGTTGCTGAACAATTAAAGTTTGAGGCATTGCCTTGCAGCCAACTCAGGCCTGGACACTAAGACTGGCTCGCCCAGAGATGTCTGCAGACATCTGAGCCAGATCTTCAGTGACTTCAGCCCACGTGCCTGGGTATGCCTTTTAGTGTGATCATCTATTTCAGTTCTGTTACTTAATGACTAAATTGTTCTGCATATGACTTGATTATGAATGTTTTGCATGTTTAGTCTTGCTGCTCAGACATGTGAGGCCATTCAGGGGCAGCCGTTTTGCAAGAGTTCCTGGCAATTGAGAGATTCAGCTTCCTCCAGGGCTCACTCCACCTTCAGATGCAAGAGCTTTGCCTAATTGGCATAAAGTAGCTTTAGTTTTTTGAAATTTGTTTTAGGCCTGAGTCCTTTCATGATTGAGCACTTCATGAGCTCTGCTTCAATGCTGAGGACAAGCTGATTGAGTGGGATCTCATTTTGAGGACTGCTCAGTGGGAGACACTGAACTCAGTTCAGTATGATCTGCTGGTTTCAGAGCCTTGGCTGTAACCATTGGGCTTTACCTATGTTTGTTGGGCTGAGGGCTGATAATTAAACTAATTAGCATTATCTAATCATTTAGTAGTTGGCACTGTATGGCTAAGGAGTACCTTCAGGATGAGCCTTCCATTGAGTGGGACCACAACCTGATTATGGCGAACTGCTTGAGGCCTGAGGTTGAGGACTTTAAGTTCAATGCTGACACTTGCCATCATTTCAGCAACTCAGGTGTTGTTGCATCATGTTTTTTGTGCTTTTGGAAGAAGTTCAAACAACTTGCAATGATTTGAATCCAACAACTTGACTCAGGATTTGACAGATCAGGCATTGCTTGCAGCAGCCCCTGCTTTCAGCTCAGCAGCATTTGCCTTGAGGTCAGCCTTAGGCAGGCGACAGGACCATGTTGGAAAACATATATGTTTTTTTTTCTTTAGCAAGCTTTGAGCTTATGTTTCAGCTGCTTTTGGTTGGTAATTAAAGTTATCTTCAAGCATGTTGCTGGCTGAGCCCTGTTCAGGATCTCATCATTAAGGCCCAGCAGCTGCTTGAGAAGGAGTTTCCAGTGCCAGCTGCACCTCAGAGGATGGCTGAGCACCTGACTCAGGCTGAAGCCACTTAACTGGCTTAGGCTGTTTTCTTTTTTGGCTTTTGTTTTGTTTTTTTCAACTTGTGCATTTAATTCCTTGCTGATATGATTCATTAACGTTCATTCATGTTGGTGGGATTTGGTTAGCCAAGCCACTAATTATTTTGTTAGCTACAGACAGCCAGCAGCTAAGGTTGACCACCTCAGGTACAGGCGAGATGGTTAGCTTGAGGGCGCCTTCAGAGCTGCAAAGCAGTTGGAAGCTTCAACAAGCTGCTCGTTTTGAGCAAAGGCAGAAGCTTCAGCTAGGCTTTGACAGCTTGAGCCAGTGTCAAGGGGCATTCAGGTTCATTTCAGGCATGCATTGCAGGCCTCGATTTCAGGCTAAGACACCAACATGTTCAATTAATTATGGTGTTGCTGGTTCAAGTTCAGCTTGAGTTGTTTGATGGAATTGCCTGATGAACACTTCAGTGCCTCTTCAGCACACTGCAGTGTTTTTAGAGCATGATTGAGCTGGGCAGACCTGCTGCTCACTGGAACACTTGAGTAATTACCTAATGAAGTGTTTGAGGAAATCATTTCAGTGTTAATCATTCAGCTCATGTGAAATTGTTCATAATTAGGTGTGGTTCTGAAGCAGTGAGCTTTTTTTCAGCCCAGCTTGAGCTCAAAGACAGACCATTTGCTTTGCAAAAATAGTTCAGCATTTGCAGCCAATTTCATGCATGTGCAGGTGAAAGGTTCAGGTGCAAGCTTCAGATTCCTGCAGCATTGGAATTCAGTGACTTTTCTATGAGTGGCTCAGATACTTTTCTGTTTGAGTGGCTTCAGCCAGCAATGGCACAAGAAGCAGATGCAGCTTATCAACTGGGGGTTTGGCTTTGGGTTCTGTGGTTGAGCAACCACTTGAAAGGGGAATGCTTTTAAGCAAGTGGGCCACCAATTGAAAGGGGATGCTTTTAAGCAAGTGGGCCACCAATTGAAAGGGGAATGCTTTTGAGCAAAGCAACTGATAGCTTTATTTTCTGGGAGGGGGGGCTGGGGGCTTGCCACTATTGTGGTCCCCTAAAACAATCACATTATTGTGGTTCAGTGGGGTCTGTGAGGGGTACCCTTGTCCTGATTGTTTTTTTTGCAATTTTTTAGCACGGTTTAATAAAGAGTTTGCAGTTTCAGGGCTGGGGATGGTTTTCAAATTTCAGAGTTTCAGCTGGCTTTGGGTTCTGTGGTTGAGCAACCAATTGAAAGGGGAATGCTTTAAGCAAGTGGGCCACCAATTGAAAGGGGATGCTTTTAAGCAAGTGGGCCACCAATTGAAAGGGGAATGCTTTTGAGCAAAGCAACTGATAGTTTATTTTCTGGGAGGGGGGGCTGGGGGCTTGCCACTATTGTGGTCCCCTAAAACAATCACATTATTGTGGTTCAGTGGGGTCTGTGAGGGGTACCCTTGTCCTGATTGTTTTTTGGCAATTTTTTAGCACGGTTTAATAAAGAGTTTGCAGTTTCAGGGCTGGGGATGGTTTTCAAATTTCAGAGTTTCAGCTGGCTTTGGGTTCTGTGGTTGAGCAACCAATTGAAAGGGGAATGCTTTTAAGCAAGTGGGCCACCAATTGAAAGGGGATGCTTTTAAGCAAGTGGGCCACCAATTGAAAGGGGAATGCTTTTGAGCAAAGCAACTGATAGCTTATTTTCTGGGAGGGGGGGCTGGGGGCTTGCCACTATTGTGGTCCCCTAAAACAATCACATTATTGTGGTTCAGTGGGGTCTGTGAGGGGTACCCTTGTCCTGATTGTTTTTTGGCAATTTTTAGCACGGTTTAATAAAGAGTTTGCAGTTTCAGGGCTGGGGATGGTTTTCAAATTTCAGAGTTTCAGCTGGCTTTGGGTTCTGTGGTTGAGCAACCAATTGAAAGGGGAATGCTTTTAAGCAAGTGGGCCACCAATTGAAAGGGGATGCTTTTAAGCAAGTGGGCCACCAATTGAAAGGGGAATGCTTTTGAGCAAAGCAAGTGATAGTTTATTTTCTGGGAGGGGGGGCTGGGGGCTTGCCACTATTGTGGTCCCCTAAAACAATCACATTATTGTGGTTCTGTGGGGTCTGTGAGGGGTACCCTTGTCCTGATTGTTTTTTTGCAATTTTTTAGCACGGTTTAATAAAGAGTTTGCAGTTTCAGGGCTGGGGATGGTTTTCAAATTTCAGAGTTTCAGCTGGCTTTGGGTTCTGTGGTTGAGCAACCAATTGAAAGGGGAATGCTTTTAAGCAAGTGGGCCACCAATTGAAAGGGGATGCTTTTAAGCAAGTGGGCCACCAATTGAAAGGGGAATGCTTTTGAGCAAAGCAAGTGATAGTTTATTTTCTGGGAGGGGGGGCTGGGGGCTTGCCACTATTGTGGTCCCCTAAAACAATCACATTATTGTGGTTCAGTGGGGTCTGTGAGGGGTACCCTTGTCCTGATTGTTTTTTTGCATTTTTTTAGCACGGTTTAATAAAGAGTTTGCAGTTTCAGGGCTGGGGATGGTTTTCAAATTTCAGAGTTTCAGCTGGCTTTGGGTTCTGTGGTTGAGCAACCAATTGAAAGGGGAATGCTTTTAAGCAAGTGGGCCACCAATTGAAAGGGGATGCTTTTAAGCAAGTGGGCCACCAATTGAAAGGGGAATGCTTTTGAGCAAAGCAAGTGATAGTTTATTTTCTGGGAGGGGGGGCTGGGGGCTTGCCACTATTGTGGTCCCCTAAAACAATCACATTATTGTGGTTCTGTGGGGTCTGTGAGGGGTACCCTTGTCCTGATTGTTTTTTGGCAATTTTTTAGCACGGTTTAATAAAGAGTTTGCAGTTTCAGGGCTGGGGATGGTTTTCAAATTTCTGAGGTACACAATCTTCAGCTTGTTGCTGAAGGAGATGCAGAGCTGTCAGAACAGCTTTGTGAAGAAGAAGGTTCAGAGCCACCTGAGAAGAAAGCAAAGCTTCAGTTTGGACTTTCCAGGTTTTGGGGTTCACCTGAAGCTAAGAAGGAGGCCCAGCCAGTGCTTAAGCATGTTCACGTGCCCTACTTCAGGGCCAACAAGAGCAAAACACAGCTTGAGGCTGAGGCAATGAAAGAAGACTTTCAGAAGCAACTTGAGGAGATCCAGCAATTTGCTTTAGAGAAAGGCATTGACTTGAAGTCACAAGTTAAGAAGAAGCAGCAGAGGAACCCAGGAGGCAGGAAAAAGGCTTTGATTTCAGCACCAGTTGGGAGCTCCAACAGAAAGTTGCCTCACAAGACAGCACAGAGGCATGAGTTTCCTGCAAGGTTCAAGCTTAAGATGAGCCGAGACATGAGGAAAGCTATGGAGACCTTCAGTAGCAAGTCTGAGTTCTGGAAGTGCCAAGTTCAGAAGTATGCTTTGTCCAAAAAGGCACTTCAGAACATCTTGAGCAAAGAGCAGCACTGGAGCAACCTTGTTGAGCAGCAAAAGCTGAAGACACCTTCAGGAAAGAAAGCAAAGTCAGCAAGGGTGAGATCCTCAGGTGGAGGGAGGAAGGACGCCTTTAAGTCTCTGATCGCTGTGGTCAAGCAATGGATTGCAGTTGAGAGGAGTTCAGGACACACACTGAGCAAGTCAGACTTGTTTCAGGAATACTTGCTTCTCTTGGATCAGAAGGCTGAGGAGCTCATGCTTCAGGCCTCAAAGGCCAGGACAGAGTTTGACAAGATCAAACTTGAGGCTCAGGCAAACCTTGCAAGGCAAAGGAAGCAGAAACTTCTTGAGTCCAGAGGTTATGCAAAGTCCTTCACTCAGAGGCTTTTAGAGAACACAGGCTCGAAGTGGAAGACAGCTGAGGTTGTCAGCAACATAAGCGAGCTTGAGTCCAGAGTCAGGTGCCAATTGACATGGCAAGCCTTTGATTCAGCACTTTACATGGCAACACTGGCTTCAGCACAAGAGCTCAAAGCTTCAGGCTTTGTTGCAGCACCTGAGCAGTATGTTCAGGCAAGATCTGAGCATTTCATTGTTGGTTTTTCAGACCAAGTGCCCCTTTGGGCAAAGTCTCAGGGCAAGAAGGCACTGTTTGCACAGCATGAGATGCATTTAGAGCACAGCACCAAAGACTTTTCAGGGGTCAGGGATGCCATTGCAGAAGCTTTGAGCAACAAGCATGAGCCTGGCCTTGTGGTGGGCACTTTGCCTAGACATCAGGGGCAAGCATTGAGCACACCTGACTTCAGGAAGCAGGGGAGTCACACTAGCTTCACTTCAGCAGCACCATCCTCTTTTGAGAGGAAGTCCAGCCTTGACACAGACATCTCTTCACCAGGGAGCATCAAGAAGAAGCTTTCATTTGAGGAAAGTGGCAATGATGAGGCTGTCACTTCAGCAGCCAAGGATTCAGCAACAGCTTCACAGGAGCCCAAAGCTTCAGCTGAGGAGCAGCCAGCCACAGCAGCTTCACAGGAGCCCAAAGCTTCAGCTGAGGAGCAGCCAGCCACAGCAGCTTCAGATGAGCCCAAAGCTTCAGCTAAGGAGCAGCCAGCCACAGCAGCTTCAGATGAGCCCAAAGCTTCAGCCAAGGAGCAGCCAGCCACAGCAGCTTCTCATGAGCCCAAAGCTTCAGCTAAGAAGCCTTCAGCCAACACTTCAGCACCTGGCTCTCTCACAGTTGTAGGCCACAGCACTGATGAGAGATACAGGATCACTTATGAAGCAAGACAGCTGATTTCAGGGCTGGATGGTTCAGGCAGCAAGCCTGAGGGCCATGTTGGCAAGGGCCTTTTAGTTGTGCCTGGTACTTGGGCAAGGCTTTCCAACATTTCAGATGATGGAAGATGGATTAAGCACGAAGAGTTTCAGGTTGGCTCCAAGACTTTTGTTCATGGTCAAGGAAGGTCAGTTGGAAGAGTTCTTGAGAGCTGGAGGCAGTTGAGGAAGGACAGGCCTGAACTCTTTGAGAGGATTGAGGTAATGTCTCAGCCAGCTGCAAATGTAGACTCACTGATCTTGAGCTGGGTCATTGAGTCTCAGGCTGAGCAGTATCCAGCCTCTTTGTGGCAGAGAGACTGCTTTGCTTCTGTTTTTTCAACAACAGCAACTGAGGCCATGCATTTAGCCAACCAGATCAGCACTCTAGTGGCTGCTAAGTGCACCAGCAAGCTGCAGATTACAGACAGTGACTTCAGCAAACAATTCAAGTCACTTGTCAAAGGAAAGCTTCAGCAACTCAGGCATGACTTTCAGCAGAAGTATCAGCAAGATGCTGCCTGGAAGGTTGGCAGTTTGGAGATACTTGAGTCTGTGGTCTTTGCCCAGGAGGAGATGAGCAAGAAGAACCTTGAGGATGAATGGGTTCTTAAGGCAGCCATCAGAAATGGCATCTTGGGCTACATCCCTTCAGGAGGCAAGCTTCAGAAGGTCACTGAGTGCAGCTGGGCTCAAGCAGAAGGCTTTCAGATGGGAACAAAGAGAATCCCATCAGATTGGTTCAAGGACAGATTCAGTTGGCTCAGTCCTGATGGCAAGCCCATTGAGCCAGACTGGTCTCTTTCAGACAGCGCCTCAGAGATTGCAGACCTTCAGAGATGGGACTACCACAGCAAAGAAGATGAGCAACATGATTCAGCAGATGAGGGCCAACACCTTGAGCTGGTTGAGATTGAAGGTGAACTTGAAGAGCAGCTTGAGCTCAGTCTTGAGAACTCGCTGAACCTGAGGCTTCACCCATCCTTGAGGAGAGCTCTGCACAAGAGACTTGCAGACCCTGCTTTTGAGGAGCAGTTGAAGAAGAAGAAGGAGAAAAAGGTTCAGAGAAAGCACAGGCTGAAGTTGAGGCAACTTGCCAGAGATGAGCTCAGGAAGGTCACACAGCAGAAGCTTCAGAACCATAGCAGGAGAGAGGTTTTGGAGACCTTGAGGAAAGAAGTCAAAGGTCAAGCTAAGGCCAAGGCCAAGGCCAAGGCTAAGCTGAAGCTTTCAGCAATGGTCAAGCCGTCCAAGACCCACAAGGCTTCAGCAAAGTCAAAGCCTTCAGTGCTTGCCAAGAAGAAGAAGAAGAGTTCAGCCAAGAGCAGCAAGGTTGCTGAGAAGATCACTGATGTGAAGAAGGCTGAGAAGGCTGAGAAGGCCAAGAAGCCAGCACTTGAGGAGCCACTTCCACTTGAGGAGCAGGTTGAGGAGCAGGCTGAGGAGCAGGTGGACTCAGCTCGTGGCTTCCTTAAGAAGGAGGTTATAGTCACTTCAGAGGCAGCAGGCAAGTTAGCCTTTGGGCAAGATGGCACAGCTCATTTCTGGAGCCCTTCTTCAGGCAGGTACAACATTTTGACAACTTCAGGCACCTTCATGGTTTTACCTGAAGAGGTGGAGCTTAAGGTGCCTCAGAAGGTCAAGACCTTTCAGTGGCCTGCCTTCAGGCAGCTCAGTAGGGAGGAGATGAGGCTCATGCTTCAGCAGCTGCATTGCCTTCCTGAGGATGGCTTAGGTGAGGTTGACCTCTTAGCTGGGGTGCACAAGGACACAGTTCTGCTTGAGGATCAGCACATTCAGATGGGCTGGTCCCTGTTGAGCTGGGCACTTCAGAAGTCAGGTGCAGCCATACCTTCAGACCAGTTTGGAATTGTGGATTCAGCTCTGACCCGCAACATTGCACTTCAGGTGCATGTTGAGCACAAGCAGTTTTTGATTCAGAAGCTGAAGAACCACCTCGAGCGCCATTCAGTTCTTTGTGTGCCAATCTTCAGTGAGAATCCAAGCCATTGGACTCTGCTGGTTGTGGACCAAAGATTCAGCCCAGCCCAGTTGAGGTGGTATGACAGCCTTCAGCATCAGTCCCAGGATGCAATTCAGGCTGCAACCCTTGTGGCAGAGTGGCTTCAGCTGGCTGGGTTTGAGCCCTTGAGAGTGAATTCAGCCTTCCAGGACAATTCAGACTGTGGCTGGTGGGTCCTGAATTACCTTGAGCTGGAGGCCAGGAAGTTGAGAGGTGAGACCATCACCTTGTGGCCTGCCTCAAGGGCTCAGTACTGGAAGAGTCGCCTTATCCAGATTTCAGCAAGCCTTGCAAAGGAGCTTAGCAAGGTTCAGACCCAGCTGGAGAATGACATTAAGAAGAGGCAGGATAAGGAGAAGAAGGCTCAGGCTGCTAAGGCAGCTGCTGAGGAGAAGCTGAGCAGCATGAAGAACAAGGAGTCAGCAGCTGCAGCCAAAGCCAAGGAGCTCATTGAGACCAATTCCTTAAGGGTCACATGGAAGGATCTCACCCTTGAGGAGAAGCACCAAATCAAGAGCCTTCAGGGGGCCCCTGAGGTATGTTCAAGATGCAGATGGCAGAGCGGCTGCCAGTCATGCAGTGCATTTAAGGCACTCAGGTACCTTGTTCAGAGGAAGGCAAACCTTGAGCACAAGCTTGCTTTTGTTGGAGGACAGGTGCAGTTGACTGTGCTGTTTTTGAGTTGCAGTGTCATTGAGCATTTGGTAGCACACATTGGCCTCCCTGGAGGACAGCAAGATGTTGAGCAGCTCTTCAAGTCCATGTGAGCTGCCTTTGAGCTGGATTTTTGGCTGGAAAACAGTGTGAGCACCTGATGCCTTCAGGTTAAGGTTCATGCCAGGTTGCCTCATGAGCTGCATTCCAGAAGTTCACCAAGTGACCAGCAGGCCCAAGCAAGTTTAGAACCTTTTCTGCTAGGTAGTGTGCTTTCAGCCATGTCAATGGATGAGATTCAGGAGACCCAGCTTCAGGCAGAGATTGGTCGAGCTCCTTCAGAAGAGTCTTCTGGCAAGAGGAGGAAGCTTGAGAACAAGGAAGTTGAGAATCAGGAGCAGGCCATCTTCAGCCATGCTGAGAGCTTTCAGATGACCATTGACAGCTACGCTGAGGAGAAGGTTCAGCAGGAGAAGGAGTTGAAGGAAGTTCAGCAAGCCACATTTCAGAAATTGAGTAGGACTCAAGCTACAATTGAGTTCTACAGTGGCTTGCTTAAGGCTTTCAATGCTCTTAAGGAAATTCCTTTTGAGCAAAGAGGCATGCACATTGAGCAGGCTCGGCATGCCTTTTTCCTTGAGACTGTTGAGGAGCTTGAGGGCTGAAGGGGCCTTCAGACCTGCATTTTGGCATTGGCTTGAGACAAAAATGAGCTGCTGCAGGGCTGAGTTCAGGAGCCACACGTGGTTGAGGCCAGTTTTTGATGGAGATTCAGGTGTGATTGTTTGGGCATGTTTGTGAATTTGTTGGCATTTGGTATGGGGTCAACATGGATTTTGGGTGATTGTTTGGGGGGGGGATGGTTTTTTTTAAATTAAATTTGCTTTGGGGAGTTTTTTTTTTGATTTTTTCCCCCTGGCCAAAAAAACTTTCTATTATTCTGGTCCCCTTAAACAATGGGGGTGAACCAGAATAAGGAAAAAAACTTTCTATTATTCCGGTACCCTTTAATAATCGAGTACAAACATTAACGCCCAGGCGGCCATCAAGAATTGGCCGCCAGAACCGAGAGGGAGCAGCCCTGGGCGATGCCGTTGCAGTTGGCCAAAGGAGTGGGGTGGATTGCCCCCCGCCAGGAAAGATAGCGCCGAAAGGCACAGTAGTTGGAGCGCCAGGCCTTGGCCACAGAGGAGCCGTAAGGATGGCAACCGTGTGGTCAGGGAGCAAGTGGTCGAAGCACTTGGAGCGGTCGATCTGGATGCCCGCGAAAACCTCATTGGTAGCTTTGGCCTCGTGAAGGTCAAGAGCAAGGTGGTGGGTAATATCGTCAACACGGCGACCACTGACCCCGCCACAAACCTCAGCAGGGAGAGCAAGGCGTTGCCAAGCACGGAACCTAGCCGAGGACCAAGCAAGGTAAGTGATGGGAAGGACAGCGATGAGGCGTTTGGAGAGAGGGCTGGGGCCCGCTCCTTTGTCCAGCACGGCAAGTCTGGCAGTGCCGAAGATGCGAGGCATGGTCCACAAACCCTCCTCAACCTTGTTGAAGAGGAAGGCGAGAACCTGCAGGACCCGAAGTGGTAGAGCCTGAAGCTCCCGGGTGGACCAACCATCCAAGCCAGCAGAGGAGTCCACACTCCGAGCGCTGATGGAGCGAGCCAGGTCTTCCGGAGTAACGGCCGGGAAGGCAAGGGGCGTAGCCCGTTGCTCAAGCAAGTGCTGGATGGGCCGCATGAGTGGCTCGACAGGGATGCCATCAGCATGGACCGCGAAAACAGTGTTCCACTGCTGTGCAGCATGCGCAAGGGCATCCGCAGGATGGTAAGCAGGCAGGCCCTCAGGACCAGCAAGAAGGTTGGGGGAAGACGTGGCGGCAGCCTTGGCAAGGTGTTGAAACACCGCCTTCCCCGAGCGCAGGGGCAGAGTGACGGAGACGCTCCTTCCACCTGCGGTAGGAGGCACGCTGCCGCTGGCGGGTGACTTCCTGGAGGCGGCGCTCAATTCTCTCGCAGAGATGTTGTGCAGTGCCACCAGGGGTGAGATCCTCAGTCTCCAAAGGAAATCGAAGGTCGCGCGCGAGCCGGCGGAACCGCCTGATGGTGGCGCACGTGACAGCAGCATCAGGCACAGTGGTAACCGGGAGGCGAGCCAAGCGGTAGAAGAGCTCCCGTGCAAGAGACAGGAGACCGTGCGTGAAGGGTAATGGGATGCGAAGGCGGCAGGGCCGCTGCAGGAGAGCGCTTGGGCCGGATGGGAGGCAGGGATCCACGGGTGCGGATTCCCCTGCCGTCGGAAAACAGGGCCCAGGCCTGCTCCGAGTTGCTAGCCTCAGTGAGGTTGTGACTGTAAGTGTGCTGCCACAGATCCTCAGCACATTGCGACACCTGGGCCGGGGGAGCCAGGGCGGCCAAGTCCAGGCGAAGGACGCAAAGGCCACAGCACGAGGGGTCTCAGTAGGGGCAGAGAACGTGAGAGAGACAGAGGCATGCTGGTAACCACAGAGCGGAACAACGCAGGCCTGCTCCAAGAGATGGAGCGCATGCTCGCTGAGAAAGGTGGTTTTCTGTTTCGCGGAATTGTTTTCCAGTTGGTTGGTGTATTTTTTCCCAGTTTCTTTTTCTAGACGACTTCGGAAAGATTTTCAGGTTGGTTCCGAAGACAAGAATGATTGCCTCTTCGTTGGACAACGCATCCAGTGGAAGCAGGATAGCACATTCGGTTGGTACATTAGGCGGCAAATAATGGAAGCCTTTTGTTGTCTTACATCTTGTCTTTTGACATTCGTTCGGTACTATGGAAGCAAGCTGTTTCTTGTTGCTTGCGACTAGTGCTATTTCGTGGTCAATGCGGCCATGGATCTAGCTTTGCACGGTGCCAGCCTGTTTTTGTCCGCAATATGAGTTGGAATATGGAAAGCGTAGTTTAGCTCTATTTCGGCCCCAAACAGTTGCTGCGCGAATGATCCGGGCTCTAAATCAGCGAGCAAGGTCTCAAAAGGAGGCGCCATGGCAGCGAGATGTCAGTTTTAGAGTGCGCGCGAGACTTGCTTGCTTGCTTGCTGGCTGGCTTGCTTTCTTGTTTGCTTGCTTGCTTGCTTGCTTAAAAAACAATTGTTTGCTTGCATGCTTGCATGCTTGCTTGCTTGCTTGCTTGCTTGCTGGCTTGCTTCCTTGTTTGCTTCCTTGTTTGCTTGCTTGCTTGCATGCTTGCTTGCTTTGCTTGCTTGCTTGCCTGTTTGCATGCTTGCTTGCTTGCTTGCTGGCTGGCTTGCTTCCTTGTTTGTTTGCTTGCTTGCGTGCTTGCTTGCGCGCTTGCTTTGCTTGCTTGCTTGCCTGTTTGCATGCTTGCTTGCTTGCTTGCTGGCTGGCTTGCTTCTGCGTTTGCTTGCTTGCTTGCTTGCTTGCGTGCTTGGTTGCCAACTTGCTCCAAATGCTTGCTTGCTGGCTTGCTGGCTTGCTTGCTTGCTTGCTTCCTTGCTTTGCCTACTTGCTTGCTTGCTAGCAAGCCCTCGGTTACGGCTAGCCCCTTGCTTGCTTCCTGGCTGGTCTAACTAGAAAAAATACGCCGAAAAACCGGAAAACAATTCCCCTGAAAATAGGGGAACCGCTGAGAAAGACCGTGTCAATAGCAGTGGTAGGGACTTCCGGGGTCCAGGTCTTGTCACGGCAAAATGTAGGGGCACGGACCTTGTCTGGGACCGTAGGAGCCAAGGGGTCAACCCAAGCCCCCGTGCTGCAAGCATCTGCAAGCGAGGCATAGGACAGAGGGTCCGCTTGGAAGTCGCCCGCAAACACAACAGGGAAGTCCTGAACAAATTGGGCAGCGAAGTCCAGGATCCTGGCGAGCAGTTCATCGTTGTGCTGGTGGGTGGGCTCATCGGAGGAGGCCCCAGAAATTCCGTAGAAGTTGATGAGGAGAAAGCGGAGTCTCCCAAAGACTGCCCAAGAGGCCTGGACACGGCCCGTAGCCAGCAAGGAGCCAAGGTGGCCAGAAACATCCATCGAGACATCAAAGCCGTAGACGACACACGCCTGAGAGAGGACGGCAAGGCCGCCCCACTCAACTCTTCTGACACCATTGATGTCAGTCGTGATGGGAAGGAGGGGGCCAGGGGTAAGCTGGCGGCCCGCCTCCTGGGCCCGAAAGCGAGCCGTGCGAATGTTATCCGCCGAAAGGCGGGCCTCCTGCAATAGAAGGACCTCAGCGGAGCAGTCAAGCAAGTCCGGGTGTGCCAAGAAGGAGCCGACATTGTGCGAATGAAAAGTGAGAGGCCCTTCGCCAGGAAAGCCAAGGGTAGCGTCGAAACAAAACTGGGTAAATAGGGCGGGAGCCGCCCAGCTGAACAAAGAGCGAGACGTAAGATAGCTATCACAGCGCAAAGAGGCAAGACGGACAGAGCGGCCCCACCGCACGTGCCCACAAGCATTCACAGAGCTGCGCCACAGCAGAAAAAGACAAAGGGGAGCAAGACCACAAGGCCCCGTATCTATGGCAAAAGCCATGGGGCATAAGGGCAAAGAGGGGCCCCAAAGCAAGGGCAGCCTAGGCGCCCAGTCGGGCAGCCTTAAAAGCAGGGGCCGGCTCAGGGGAGCAGGAGCGGCCGGGCTTGGAGACTGCCCCAAGGATGCGCGAGAGCTGCGCAGAGACCTGAGAGAACTGTGTCTCGACCTTGTCGGCGAGGGAGTCCTGCTTGGCTTCAAGTCCTCCAAGGCGCGCAAGGGCATCAACGCGAGCCTGGATAGGCCCTGCAGACTGAGTCCTGACCAAAAGCAAGAAGATGCAATTCCTCCGAAAAGAGCGGAGGGGAATGCAAGGGACACCAACAGCCTTGAGGACAGCCTCAGAAATGGCCCCGGGTGTGGCCCCAAAGGGCAAGCCCTCAGCAAGATAGTTGACTCTGGGGACGAGAGCTCGGTTGGCCTCACAGAAACGGGGATCGTCCTGCAAGAGAGCCCGGCGGGCAACCGCAAGGTGAGCATTGAGAATGCGCACGACAAGGCCACGCTTCAGAGGGGCAAGACCAGCGAAGCTTTCAAGGGCGCGGGTGACCGCTAGTCAAGAGCGAGAACCTTCGAGAGTGAGAGGCCAAAACCTGTGCACTATGGAATGATCAAGGGGGTCGCTGCCTCACGCCAAGAAGTCCCGAATGAAGTGGGAACTGATGCGGGAGAGCCTCAAACACGCGAGGCGAAGTCGAAGCGGGACTTTCAGGGTGATCTGAAACACGCGGCCGAGGCCGTGAGGTGAGCCCTGCAGGATTCTGAGGGCATAGCAGGACTGCAGGGCGCCTTCAGGGAGGAAGCCTTCAAGCACACCACGGAGGTCCGACAGGGAGCGACCCAAGTAGGCTGGGAAGTCAGTAGCAAGGTTCTCGAAGACCTCAACGACAAGCTCAACAAAGTCATCAGTGTCAATAATGACAGCATCGGCAGTGACGGGCCGGTAGACAATACCGGGGACAAGATGGACAAGGATGACCTGACGCTTGTAGGTGGTCTCGGCCTGCACATCAAGAACGCTGATCTGCATGGGCCCTTCAACAGCCAGGTGGGAGGGTAGCGAAGGCAGGGTGGTCCTGGAGTTGCCCGACAATGAGGGCAGTGGGGCCGACAACCTGCAAACGGAGGCTCTCAGCAAGAGCACTGACAGGACAGAAGGCAAGGCC